ATTTGCAAGCATGGACAACAGCTGTCATGGATGTTCACAAAATCTGACCGAACGGATAAATGGAAAATGGCCCGTGTACGCAGGGGCGCCACTAGCAATTTTGGGCCCTATGAAAGAATACATGTTGGGCCCCCAACCGCACAAAAACTCAATAAAACTAAAAAAAACTCATCGCCAAACATCAATGACTTGTACATATGCGTACAATCATTTTAGTCACTTCCAAAACTGTGGCAAAAAAGATGGAAATACAATTTTTAAATACATGAATTATGTTTCCATCTTTGATGCCACAGTTTTGGATGTGCCTTTTTCTGTTCTAAAGAAGGGGGTGTCTCAATACATTTGTCCCTATGTATGTACAATTCACAGGTGGTTGGTGATGAGTTTTTGGCTCAAGGTCTGCATTTAAAGTCACACCATAAAATTAGAAGCACACAATTCCCTAGAATAGCATTATATGCTTAAACATTAAGATTTGTACTCATGGAAATTACTAAAGTAGTCAAACCTGTTCATTAGAGGAGGAGGGGGGGGGGTGTCCCAATACTTTTGGCAATATAGTGTGCAAGCTATATAATTATATAATAAATAATCTACAATCAGAAATGATGGTCTGATTGTAGATTATTATTGGCGGCGAAAAAGAAAATTTAATAAAACTTGTGAAGTCGTGGCCTAATGGTTAGAGAGTCGGACTCGTAACCCAAAGGTTGCGAGTTCGAGTCTCTGGAAGTCGTGGCCTAATGGTTAGAGAGTTGGACTCATAACCCAAAGGTTGTGAGTTCGAGTCTCAGGTCTGGCAGGGATTGTAGGTAGGGGGAGTGAATGTACAGTGCTCTCTTCCACCTTCAATACCACGACTGAGGTGCCCTTGAGCAAGGCACCGAACCCCCAACTACTCATAACCCAAAGGGTGTGAGTTCGAGTCTCAGGTCTGGCAGGGATTGTAGGTAGGGGGAGTGAATGTACAGTGCTCTCTTCCACCTTCAATACCACGACTGAGGTGCCCTTGAGCAAGGCACCGAACCCCCAACTGCTCCCCGGGCGCCGCAGCAAAAAAATGGCTGCCCACTGCTCCGGGTGTGTGTTCACGGTGTGTGTGTGTGTTCACTGCTGTGTGTGTGCACTTTGGATGGGATAAATGCAGAGCACTAATTCCGAGTATGGGTCACCATACTTGGCCACATGTCACTTTCACTTTATTTTATTTTCATAGTACTAGTGATATTAATTAATTATTGTATTTGTAATAGATTTGCCAGAGTACCAATGGTCACGACTTAAGCTAGCCAGAGCAAATCTGGACACAATATGTGACCGCAGCTTTTGCTCTCATCACTAACGTGTAATCCTGACTCAGTATTTGTATTTTTTTATCCCCTAAAGCAGTGATCCTCAAATCTGGCTCGCGAGATCCACTTTCCTGCAGAGTTTAGCTCCAACCCTAATCAAAAACACCTGAGTTTGCTTATCAATGTCTTCAGGATCATTAGAAAATCACAGCTAGGTTTGTTTGATTAGGGTTGGAGCTAAACTCTGCAGGAAAGTGGATCTCGCGAGCCAGATTTGAGGATCACTGCCCTAAAGCTTTGGATGTGCAGATTTGTTTGGTGCCAGCTTTTTTGTCTTTAGACTGCAACACCACAGGAAGAATCTTAAAATTCTGAAGTCAAATTCAAAACAGAAATACCCCTGAAAAACTGTCAAGAGAGAGAAAAGGGAAAAGATTATGGTGAAAGGGAGACTTTAGAAAGGTGTTTTCCACATGCTGTGCACAGCTGCCAACCATCTCTGAAAATCCATTTCATCTGATTTAGAGTCTTCTCACAGAAATTAAAGAGATGATCAGATCAACACAATCAGATGATCAGCTGCGATCTACGTGAACATTCTGTCTTGCAGACACTTTGCTTACAATCCTATAGGGTCACCCTATTAGGACAGCTGGGAGACTTTTTGAACCTCTGCCTCAGTCATTTAGATGTTTTGGTTCAGCAAAAGTGCTGCTATATACAGTAAAACATAATATAAATGAATGGTTGGATAAATAATATGTTAATGTGTATGTTATTTATAATGATTTTGAATTCATTTTAGGTGCATTAGAGTCTAGCAGTTCCTTTAAGAATAAACTTCCTTACTGAGTTTGTAATTTGTGTTGCTCAGGCTCAGCCTGTGTCCAGATGGAACTAATCTGCCATCTGTGAATCATCTTTATTGACGGTCTGTGCCCACCTGGCCTTGTGTAAAACGATAGAAAACTGCAGCTCATGTTAAAGAAAAAGAGATTTAGACTCAGAGTGTAGTTAGTGAAACTTGCTGATTGTGTAGCTTCATATTTTTGCTTAGAAACCTTTTTGATGTTTTAACATAGAAAAGAGTTAGTGGATTTCGGAGTACACTGGAAGTAGTTCTTAGCTGTAAGAACACTGGTAAATTTAATGGTGCAAACCAACACTGCTTGGTAAACAAGCTAGGTGTTTGCAAATGTTTGGCAATGATCGTACCCATTTACTTTTTATTTTCACTGGATTTCACTTGCCGACCATAATAATTCAGAACCAAAAATTTAATTCCACCTGGCCCCTTGTCAGTGTAGCAGCAGAATGGTCAAACAACTGCTACCATTAATAGTTCTTGATTTTCACAATAGATTAAATATATCTTTATAATATTATTATTATTATAGCATTTAACTATAAAAATAAATGTACATTGTTATTGCAATTGTGCATGTATCTTTATTACTTCCTCAAAAAGCAGAATGCACAATATGTCAAAACAGGCATATTGCTGATTAAAGATTTAGATAAAATGCATTTTTACAATGTAAAGGAGCAGAAAAGAACTAACAGACTAGGACGCATTTGGCTATTGGCATTTGTTGTGGCAAAAACTTTACCAAAAGTATGTGCACAAACATACTGATTCAAACTCAAAGAATGATTTTGGTTCTGGCTCACATCATTTCTTCTTCTTCTGTCTTCCCTCTGCTGTATATTTTTAAATAAGAATGGAGAAAAGGCCCCAAAAATAACACCATACATCACTCTAGTTTCATCTAGTTTTACATCTAGCAGGCCGGTTTGTGATTCAGCATCCTCCATGACTAAGCAGAGGAAACTCTGATCAGGTACAGTTTTGGGAAATCCACTGAACTCCACAATATCCATCCGGTTACCCATGGAAACTCTTGGACAGCAAATCACTTTTCCATGAAAAAGTAAATGGTGGTTTAAACCCAACATTAAAATGTTGTTATAACACAAGCATGTAAGTCAAGCAATATTTCCAACACTCAGATTTTTTTTAATGCCGCTCTTTTTTTTCTGGACCAAGGACTAATTTTAAGTGCAAATAGTAAATTAAGCAAGCTTTTAAAAGTAAATAATAATAATAATAATTGCTATTAGATAAATAATTTCATTTCTAACAATAGTGAGGCTTATGTATACAAATGCTCTGACCACAAATGTAGAAGCAGGGGCGATTCCAGGATTTTCATTTTAGAGGGGTGGGTGTATGAGGGTATAATATATATATATATATATATATATATATATATATTGAAATTAAAATGGCAACATCGTTTTATAATATATGCGTCCATATATTTTCACTGGAGGAAACCTGTGGTGTGAGGGGTGAACGCAGCGAAAACCTCGATGGCTACAGTAGATGGGGAACCGATTGCTCCCCCCTGATATTTTGGCTATAGCCCCCGTAAAAATGGCCTAGCGACGCCCGTGGGTAGAAGTGTTCTGTCTAAAAGAATATCCAGTAAACAGGATTTTTGTCTGTTTCTTCAAGCATTAATAGTTCAGTATAACAGTTGACCCTGGTGAACAGGGGGAAAAGGAAAGCATTAAAAGGCTCTATAAGGCAACAGGCTGTATTTTTCTAAAGATGGACTACTCTTTTAAATACTATTCCTGTGAATTGCTTTTGTCTTTGTGTAACAAGTTGATACAGATGGGGAAACTCTTGTTCTTCTCAAAATCAATAGACTACATCACTTCTCCATGATTTACATGTTTAATTTTTTTTAATTCGACATTGATCTATTATAATTGCACACAGTGGAGCAGAATTTGTCAACACATCTCTTATTTGTTGGGTAATCGCTGCATTGAATCATGGGCATCAGTTGTTTATTCTCTAGGATTCTGACATAATTCAGAGCACAGTGAGGCTAGTTAATTTAACACTGAGATACAGCAACAAAAACAGGTGTTTTCTGGGCTGAATTAAATGCGTATTATAATATTACTTTTCAGATTAAACACAACAGTAAACGTCTGATCTCTCAGGATTGACACCTCACTTTGATCCACTCATTTTAGGTCAGCTCGTTCTCATTGTGTGTAATGCCAGAGAACTTGTTTTATAGTTTTCACATCATGTCACATGTATCATGTAACATTTAAACTTGTTACTCATTATCTGAATATGTTTTCTGATTTTGTTGCTATTGAAACAGATGTAACCGATTTATATGTCTTTGTGTGCTTTTTTATTCATATAATAAATGCAAAAATATGATCTTTATTGTGCTTGATTCATCTCTTCAGAATTAGAAACAAATGTCCCCATCCAGAACCCTGTTTGCCACAGTAATCTAAACAAGTCCAATCCAAAAAGTTTTTTTTTTCAAATATTTATACATTTATACTCTACATTTATATATATATACTAAAAAGGCTTGCAAGAATGTTCATATATTGTGTTTGTGATTATTCCTTCAGTGGGTAGCCAAGGATACAATTTGAGTTGGAGGAGTATAAGGAGAAAAAAAATATTGCTTTGGTTTGTTACATCACCTTCCCAATAAGGAACAGCCATACCAAATACAGCCTTGGGTCTGTTTCTCAATTATGACTCTCTCGCCCTTTTTTTCCTTCTCTATGCAGAGGAAAGTAGGAGGCGTGGAAAAATTGGGTGGCTTTTCTCCAGGATTCTCTGAGTTGTGTGTTCTGTCCCAGGCTGGAGTGAGTGGCACTGCTCCTCTGGAGAGCACACAGTCAGCTCAACGGACGAGAGTCTCACAGTAGAGCTCCGGTACATGAGCTTATCAGTCTCATCTCTGCCTAACCCACCCAGAACAGTTCTCAGAAGGGAAATACCAGGAAGAAAATGACCTAAGAGTTGTCTTTTTGCAGTTATTTGAAATTTCATTGAAAGATTGTGGAATACAGCGCTCTGCATTCTGTATTCCAGGGGTAAGTTGCTTGGTTATATATGAGTCATGCAAATATGTCTTTGTAAGAGGGGCATTTAAGTGCATGAGTGAGACTCATCAAGATGGTGTGGGTTTTGGTATATTTAGATGCATGCATTCTAAAAATATGCTAAAATCCATTTTTACTCAAATTTGCTGTGTATGCACCCTTTTTACCCTATAAAGTTTGGTTTGTTTGTGTGACTTTTCCAGTGCATACAATGTGTAGGTGGTTCTACATATTAATTATAGTTTTAATGTTAAGAATTCACTGGGTACACTAAATTTCAAAGCTTTGGGAAATTGTTCTTGCACCAGAGGAAGAGGCATTGCAGAAAAGGCAGATCAAAGTGCTCTGATAAGTAGAATACATGAGGAGGGGCTCTGTGTTAAGGGTGTGTTAAGAGTGAACAATTTAGCAGGAAAGTTTTTGAGACCACTGTTACAGTATGCAGTCATGTGTTTGTGATATGGTTACCCATAACCTCAATGATTCTGTTATGTAAAAGTGTAAAATAAACATTTTTCTAGAAGGACATATTGCAGAATTTTCATCTTAACTGTCTGGTTTAGTTATGCCGATTTTTGTTTTCATCAAGATGATATTCAACCCGGATGAGGATAATATTGATTATGAGCTTGTTTAAACAGAAGCAAGAAGCCGAACAAGTCAGGAAGCTTTGTTGCACATTTCTACCACTATAGACACTATTCAAATTGCACTGTAAAGACAGGGTGATGTGAAACACTTCTTCCACTGTCTTTGCCAGATGGACAAAGAATGCTGGGAGAGTTAGAGCGGAGGCATTAAATTTAAGTGAAGCAGAACCAGATGTGGACCCTTGAAAACACCAGAAAATCTAAATCCATTGCAGTACTTTCCCACTGACTTGCATACATATAGACAACCATGTAATTGTCACCACAAACATGCACAGAATTGTAGGGTACTGATATTTACCCTTTAGGGGAAGATAAGGTGTACATTTGATACTGCTCCAGACAAGCTAAAGTTAAAATTTGTACACATGTTTTTTTGAGAGTGTGGGCATTAGAATTCCTCTGTTGAGCCAGCTTTGAGAAAGCCTGAAAAGGAGAAGCAGTTATCCCAACATAAAACACTAGAGGACAATGTTGAGACACCCTGTATTACTCATTTGGTGCTTAAGGCATTTAGACTGAGGTTGGTACAAACATGTTTTTCATCCCATTATTGTTGCTTGGGCATTAACCATTGAAAATGTTACATGTCATGTTACATTAAATATTATAAATTTACTTGTAATACATTTAAATGTAATACCATTGTGTGCTAAAATTTGAAAATTATTTAAAAAATAATTTTCTGCATCTAAATGAAATAAATGCCAACCGAAACAACTTCAACTCATAAAGTAATTTAGTGTAAGGAACTCTCTCTCTCTCTCTCTCTCTCTCTCTCTCTCTCTCAAGATTCTAGCTGTTCCAGATGTGATCAAAGTTTTATTTTTTTTTTCCTTTTTTTTCATTATTTTCTTAGCATTGATTTGGTAAAATTGATTTGGTATTGTAAACACCAACATAAGTAAATATCTTGAAAATATCAATGTTAACAACACCATGTTAAATTTAAAGAGTAGCTTACAACATAATTAAAATGTCAGGTGGAAATAATGGTTTTAAAACTATATTTAAAGGCATATTTATTTGAATAATGAATGAAATATGTCTGGAATGTTTGACTTGGACCAAGACATGATTTTACCTCGGGAAAAATTAGGCTGTTCATCAGTGACAACATGGCTTTGTTCACTTTACTTCATTTTACATTTAACATTTTAAAAATAAATAAATCATAAAAATACAGTGTTTAATTTGTTATAACTGTAAGAGCCTGTTAACATAAAAAAGCCTCTAAACAAATATTTCCTAGTTGTGTTTTTATCATATTTGCGTATATGGTAACATGGCAACCAAAACTATACCGTGACTCAATGAGTCCAGCATCTCTGAGACTGATGTGATGGAAAATTGTTATTTTATAGTGCAAAATGTGTCTTTCAGTGTGATTCTGAGTTCAACAGGGAGGGGACATTCTGTGTTGTGGCATATGTCTGTCTGCATGTTATGGAATTTTTGTTTGTGTCCAGTAATCCAAATGTTTTTTAGTTTTTTTTCTGAGTGTGGACTGCGTAGTGCTTAGTGTTTTTTACTGGCAAGTGAGGAACATTGATGTGGGAAGAAAACCTTTTAAAATCCTGAAATCTGACAGTTTTCAGGCTCACGGGGTGGAAACAGGTCACATAAATCTCACTGTGCTGCCAAAACTTTTCCTCTCCTCCTAAAAATAAGCATAAACTGTCCAGAGGTATTTCAGAGAATGTTTATGTTATATTTTATGAGATAAGATGAGAACGCAAACAACCCAATAAAGGACTATATTTAGAATATTGATCATTTGATACCTTTAATTTGATGGCAAAACTTTATCAAACTGTGCAGTTATGTCAGAACTGTGGATGAACAGCAGTCATATGTGTTTGTGCCATTGCAAGTAAGTTTAACTGAAATAAAGGGATGTACTGTGAGAATTTCCAGATATATATATATATATAGTATGCTCACTATGCTGTACATTTTCCCAAAAACTTAAAAGCAGTTTTGTTGTCTTTTTTCCCAGCTGTCTATTCCGTTGCTCTTGTGGATAATGGGGAAGAGCCGGTTATTACTGTTTGCCCTCTGGGGTGTAATGGTTTTTGGCCTATTCCCAAATCTTGAAGCTCAGGATGGTAAGTTTAGTCCGTTATTTTTATTTATTTATTTTTGCCTCTCCAGCCTTCTTTGAGATGTAAACATCATGCTATGGGTAAAAACATGTTCATTTTACTGTGCTACGTTCCCTTGACTGGGAAGAGAATTTAAAATTGGGTATCTTGTTCTTTGAAAAGCTCTATTGTTAAATATTAAGTTTAATTACATCTACTTGTACAACAGTAAGTAAAAATAGGAGCATTACAGGGTGATTTTAGACTTGTGTTAAAACTTTGAAATTTCATATTCAAGAGAGTGAAGAGAAACAGCTACAGTTTACTGATTTACATACTTTGAAACCATTCAGAGCAGTATGATGTAGTTTGTTCAGAACCCCTAATGAACAAAAACAATTCAACGGATAACTACATTTTAAGCTTACACCACCAATCCTGAAGGGTCTCAAGAGCTACTGTCAGCGTCGGGAACGGCCACAGCCAGTTAATATTGGCTATGGGTAATTCATGAAAAATTCAACTAGAAATAACCCAATTAACAATTCCCCCACTGTTAACATGACAAGTTTTGTCACAGTCACATTTTCTGCATGCTGTGACTCCTCTTGTGCTGGTTTTAGTGCATTTGCAACAAATAGACATGAGATAATGGATTTTAGATGTAACAGAATTGCAAAACTATCAACATCCATCCAACTGTCTTTCTGTCTCTCTGCCATTATCCATTCACTTATTTATCCATCCATTCCTGTACTAAATTCTTGGAAAAAAGTAGATTCACTTCAGAAATTGATGCCTAAATTCTTTAGACGACAAGGTATCACTAATTTATGTCTTTGAGACATTAGAGATCATCAGCAGCTGATGATGGCTAACCGTCCAGCACAGCTTATGTCTTGAGAGCTTAATGTCTGATTCTTTTGTGTTTGTGTGCTGACTGTCTTCACTGTGTAACTATTTAAGTAAAAAAAAGTGTTCCTCCACAATTGATACAGTGATGAATCCATATGTTCTCATCTTTGAATTGTTTACTAAACAAAGGGCATATTTCACTGAATTGAAATATTAAAGACCCCATAAATTGAAGATAAAAGTGTTGTGCCTTTGTGTCTATGTGTTTTTTTCTTTAGCCATCAATGGTATTTTGTAGTGTGCTCCTAAATGATGATCACTTTTAGCAGATCACTGTATGCATTTTAAATGTACAGCCTCTCTCTTCTAGAAAATAAAGCTAAAAGTATTGATGACTCATTCTATACTACAGACATGTTTGCATCAGATGCTGTCTAGAACATTAATGTCCCTCCCCTAATATCACCTGCAGTCGATTATCAAGGAGTAAATCATGGCTCGTGTTTGTGACATAAAGCTTATTGGCTATTTAAAAATTGGACAAGCCTTTCAATATATCCTAAACAAGTTGTTTCAGTAGATACTGTTATCACAAGAAATAAAACCGTGATTGTTGAGTGATTTCAATCAACAATCAAATATGTGAAAAATGCCAGTAAAGAAGTGACAGTAAAAATATTTATGGAGGTCCAAAGATGAGACAGAAGGGTCATGACTGGTGCTGTTATCACTGAATACTGTAACATGAGTCTGCATGGTCTGACTGAACACAAGAAGATGAAAAGATTAAATTGCCCAGGCAGCATCTAGAGGTGCCTAAACACATATACAGTTCAGAAACTTCATAATGTACACACAATTACTCACACATTACAATTAAATACACTGTAAAATAAAACCCCACAGCATAATTCTAGGCTATTTAGAGTATGAAAATGAGAAAGTTGCAGGGCATCTTCCTTGTTTCAGCAGACATGCAGTATAATGTGTTTGTGTTGTGTTTTTATGATGGATTGTAATTATCCATGATTATGTTTTATGTTTGCACCCCTACCCTTTCACCCTCCCTCTTTCCTTTTTTTTAACCCACACATTTTGCATTATATTTTGTTTGTCTCTCTGTCCTCTCTCCACTTCTCCTTCAAAGCCCCTGCGACAGCCGACCTTGTACTCTTAATTGACGGATCAGAGAGCGTTGGAGCTGCCAACTTCCCCCTCGTCAGTGATTTGGTGGTCCAAGTGATTGAGGAGCTTGCCATTGGCAGGGATGCAATCCGTGTAGCCCTCATGGTTTATGGTGCCAACCCTGAGATTCAGTTCTATCTCAATAGCTTTGACAACAAAGAGAGTATCCTCAGTGCTATCCGGGGGCTTAGGTACCCTGGTGGTTATGAGGCAAATCTGGGGGCCGCTTTGGAGAAGGTGGCAGACAGTCTATTGGGCCAAGATGCAGGAAGCAGGGCAGAGGAAGGGGTGCCCCAGGTGCTGGTGGTGATCAGTGCTGGGGAGTCCACCGATGATGTCAGTCAGGGCGAGAGGGCCCTAAAGCAGGCCAGTGTGTACACCTTTGGCATTGCTGTGGGTGTTTCTGCTACTGCCCAACTGGAAGCTATTGCTACAGACAAAAGCTTTGTTCTGTCTGCTCCTGATGTCAGAACAGTGGCAAGCATGGGTGACCAGATACTGCCATACATTAATGGGGTCGCCCAGCGCACCATTGTAATTCAAACAGATTTCACAGAAGGTATGTAATTACCGTATATGGGGGATTCCATAGCGAAACTGAAGAGCGGGAAATAATAACTGTACTCATCTCGGACGTGGACCACCACTCTGCACATTTTGTGTGTCTCCCTTATTTAAAACACCTGATTCAGTTCATCAGCCCATCAGGTTAGAGCTCCATGAACTGCACAGAGTGTGTCAGATGAGATATACAAAATGTGCAGTGGTGGGTCCCCAGGACCAGGATTAAAACCAATGCTGTAAACAACATATGCTGTTTGCCAATGAACCATATAAAACAAGTTTTGTGGTTCACTGTTCTCGTCATGGATTGTGTTCTCTCTAAAATACAATATTTACACTAAATCAAAAGTGTAGCACAGCTTTCAAGTGGAGAGAGTTAACTCTTGTTAATAATTTTTGTATGTTTATATTCAGGATTGTATAAAATTTTGGTCATAGCAAATGTCCATGCTTTGAAATGAATTATCACTTAATGCTGATTCATTTCCATTGTTTTACTACATATATGATTTATCTATGCCAGCTTTATGTCAAGTAAAAGAATGGTGATAGTTAATACATTGTATTTGTAAAAACCTTCAAGCTAAACCTTAATTATTCATTTTAGATAAATGATGAGAGCTAACTGTTTCATAGGTTGCCTGATTTTGGTTAGAATTTGCAGAAGGACTAAGCAGAATTCTTCTTTTTTTCTCCCCTTTTAGCTTTGGCTGTTGGGAAGAGAGATATAATTTTCCTCATTGACAGTAGCATGGGTACCATCGTAATCAATGCAGTGCGAGAATTCATCAAAAGGTTTATTGACACCATGCCAATTGGTCCTGATCAGGTGCAGGTCGGAGTGGCCATGTTTTCCACCACCCCAAGGATGGAGATCAACCTCAACTCATTCAGTTCAAAGGAATCACTAAGCTCTGCCCTCGCAAAAATAAAACCCAAACCTTCAGTTGAAGTCAACATTGGTGCTGCCTTGGATTTTGTGAGGACCAACATGCTCACAGCTGAGAGTGGGAGCCGCATTCAAGATCAAGTGCCACAGCTTGTGTTGCTCCTAACCAGTAAAAAATCCAAAGACAGTGTCCAACAACCGGCTGATGCCCTTCATCAAATGGGTGTTCTGACTTTGGCTGCAGGCTCCAGGGCTGCCGATGAAGCTGAGCTCAAGCAAATAGCTTTTGATGACAGTGTTGTTTTCATGCTAAAGGACTTCAGGATGTTGCTGCGCAACCCCAAAGAAATTATCTCCCCTCTCTCTACATTGTCTGGTATTATTGTAACAGAGACTCCAACTGAAACAGGTAATATTTAGAGTTCAAACATGCTCATTTTGTTTATAAAAAAGCAGATTGTATTGTTCATAAGTATTAGTTATGTATATAGATAGATATTTAAATTCATAAGATAAATATAAATAAAATACTTCACAAAACCATGTATCTTTTCTTATGCATTTTTGCCCATTGACACTGTCTTATTGCACAAATGGAAATTCTTGAACGTCATTTAAACGATACTTAGATATCTAAAATTGTGGTTATGTAAAATCTTCTAGGCCCAATTGTGGATGTTACTACAGTCCACACCCAAAGAGTTGTCCGAGACATTGTCTTCTTGGTGGATGGATCTAGCTATGTTGGAAATAACCTGCAACCTGTACTGGACTTCATTACCGAAGTGGTGAACAGACTAGATGTTCGACCTGAGCGAGTGCGCATTGGACTAATGCAGTTTGCTGAAAGGCAGCGTACAGAGTTTTATCTGAACACTCACAACACCAAACAGGATGTGCTCTCTGCCATCGCTCAGCTGAGATTGATGGGAGGACGTGCACTGAACACTGGTGCAGCCCTACAATATGCCCTAACCAACCACTTCCAGCCCGCAGCTGGGTCTCGTGGGAGAGAGGGGATCCAGCAGGTCCTGGTTTTAATAACAGGAGGACCATCTCAAGATGAGGTCAAGAGGATTGCAGACCGTGTAGCTTTAGAGGGTGTTTTGACTTTTGCTGTTGGAGCTGGCCAAGTGGAAGATCGTTTCTTGAAAACTGTTGCTTTTGTTGAAAATTTGGCATACTACAGAAGAAATTTTGCTGACTTGTCAAGTGTTGTTGGTGAAATTATGACACCACTGGTCACTGTTGTTGGGGAGACTAATACTCCAGTAGGTAAGCTGAAGCACCTTTTCATGAAAATAAATTAATTAATTAATTAATTAATTGAGGTGATGAGTATCAGTATAAAGTTCAAGAATTCAATTCAATTCAAGTTTATTTGTACAGCGCTTTTCACGATACAAATCATTTCAAAGCAACTTTACAGCAAATTAAGTTTCTACAATATTTAGTGGTAGCTTATCAGTGGTGACTGTCAGTTAATGTACATATGGCAGAAATGTACGGAAAAATCAATTAAAGACGTAATCAAACAGACGATGAACACTATTAACAGCAATTATTATATGATGCAATCAAACTATAAGAATAGAAGAAAGTTAGAAGAAACTAACTAAGAATACATCATATTAGTCAACATAAATTATTTTTTTGCACCACTTAATTTTTTTTATCACCTACATTGCTTTTCTATTCAGAAATGTACAATCTAACATTTATGTTGCAGATATTTAAGCATTTTTGGGTATTTAATTCACATTCTCTCTTTTTTTAAATCTTTCACAGTGACTGAAAAACCAGGTCCCTCTGGTGGAGAAAGGGATGTTGCATTCTTGATTGATGGCTCCGATGATGTGAGAAGTGACTTTCCCTATATCCTTGACTTCATTTCCAAAGTCATTGAGCCTCTAGATATAGGCTTTGATAAAGTACGAGTTTCTGTGGTCCAGCATAGTGAGAGACCAAGTCCTAACTTCTACTTGAACACTTACCGAACCAAAGATGAGGTGCTGAGAGCTGTAAGTGGACTCACTCTGGCAGGTGGCAGAAGTTTAAATACTGGAGCTGCCTTGACTTTCATGAAAAACACCATTTTGTCACCAGCAAATGGTGGTCGAGCCGGTAAAAATATTCCCCAATTTTTGATCGTTTTGACTGGGGGAAGATCTAGAGATAGTGTCAGAGAACCTGCAGTTGCCCTAAAGACTGAGGGAGTTGTTCCTTTTGGTGTTGGAGTGAAAAATGCAGACCCTAAACAGATTGAGGCCATCTCTCACAATCCATCATTTGCTTTCAATGTGAAGGAATTCAGCCAGCTCAACACTGTTCAGGAAAGGCTCAAGAACTATGTGAAACTTCCAGATCAAGAACTGAAGTTCATTCTAGACACAGGTAAGAACATTTTAGCTGTTTGTGTTGCTGTGGTCTTCTGTATGCTTGCAGAAGCAGCAGTGTGTGTTAGTGGTTTATTTTTAGGGTACTGTGCTATTCTTTGTTTCTAAATATTTCTCATTGGTGTACTATGTCTTAGCTGATGCCGAAGATGTAGCAAAAGATGGTTAGATGGGCACTCGAGTTAGTGACTCGGACTCGAGTCGCATTTTTATAGACTTCAGACTTGACTCAGACTCGACCTGAAATGACTCCAGACTTGACTCGACTCGAGGAAAAGGACTCGTGAATATTTTAAAAGCAACTCAATCCTTATATAACTGATATCCAAAAGGCGGACCGCATCGGCACCCCGGCATCCATCCGGACTGTTAACCATAACAGCAGCAATATTTTAAGTGACCAGCGCGTCAAAGCCCTCAGGGTCGTTTGTGGTAGATATCTTTCAGCGCTATAGGCTACTCTAGTATTTTTATCCAAAGCCAAACGCGCTTTATTCAAGCCCTTTCAGCTCCGTGCGCTTTCTCTCTCTCTCTCCGGACGCGCGCCGGCGCGGATGACGCGGTTATTTTAACAACAACAGAAACACGGAGAGCAGCAAAATTATAGATTACTTTCACTAAAACACAGCATAAAAAACAATGCTGCAGATATAGTTCGTTTTCTTACTATCTATTTATCCATAACCTGTTCAAACCAGATGTGGCAAGACGTTTCTGATCTACATTTAGCATTATTAATTAATCTGTAGGCTAAGAACATTTCAAAATAATCATGTAATTATAATTGGGAAATTGTTGTTAGATGGCTAGGATAGAACTTAAACTTTGAAACTGCTGGTTGTCTTTCTTTTCTGCTCAAGATGAGAACGTTTTGATTATTGTGTAAAATATTAAAATAGTATAGATTTCAGGAGGAAAATTTTTTTTTTTTTGTCACATGGCTTCGCATGTATCTAAATGTACTAAATGTAAACGTGTAATTTTTTTTTTGTCCGGACCTCTGCTTGGAAGAAAATATAGAAAATATAGAGGATATAGAGGCTGGAACTTTAATTGAATACCCCTGACTTATATCAAAAATAAATAATTTATTTGTATGGTTTTGTAATCTGTGTCACATGTTTCCTTATGTGTCATGGTAGATAGGACTCTTATTATAGAATTTGATTACAGAAAAACTGTTTTGAACATGGTAATGGATTAAAACATATAAGTAACAGGCTGGATGTACATTAACCTTACATCTTAAC